GGGTCCCACAGAAGACGGTACCAGAAGCTTGCCAGGACGTTTGAAGGCGGCGAAGGAAGTGGCCAAGAGAACCCTCAGCACCACTCTAGAGAGCCGAGGCAGCTCCAAGACGGCTCGGAACCAATGCGCTCCTCCAACCGCCCCCCGACCCCCCCCCCCCCCAGACAGCACCCACAGGCCCCACGGGCCCCGCTGGCCCCACGACCAGGAGGCCCGCGAGGGCCCTAAGGAAGTCCCCGGAACGCTTTGGGAGGCCCCCAAGACACCCTCGGGGGCCCCCTTGGAGAACTAACAGGGCCCCAAGAGCACTGTCACTTCGTGCCGCTATTTTTCCATACGTTTCGCGCACGGCCCCTCTTGAAGCCCTTCATGCCTCTCCAGGAGCGTCAGCAGAAAGCATCTTCTTGTCCCGAGAGCCTCAACAGGGCCCCCTAAGAGCCCCATCAGCAGCAGCCTGCAGCCGCAAGCAGCAAACGCACGCCGCAGCGGCAAACATTGCCAACAGCACGCGACAGCGGACGCAATAAGCAGCATGCAGTAGCAGGCGCGGACTGCGACTTTCGAGCTTCGCGTAGTCATTTCAGCATTTCGGCAACACCTCCGCCATCACATGCCATTTTGTGCAGATTCCGTGGACGTAGTGCACGGGCCAGCCCTAGTCTCTACTACACTGCAGGCACACTCGCGTGCGAGAAGCATGCTATCTTAAACGCCCTCCGGCGCTCGGGCGGGGCCCGGCGCGCCTCCGGGGCGGCCATGGGCCGCGTCAAGACGTCCCAAGGCGCTCCAAGACGCCCAAAGAGAGCCTCAGAGCGCCTCAAGACGGTTCCAGTCGTTCCCCAGGCCGCTCCCGAACGCCCAAGATAGGCGCAAGACGGCCCAAGATACCCCCCATACACTCCAAGAGTGATCCTGGAGGACCTCCATGAGGGCCCCAAGAAGAAGCAACATTGGCCCAAACCTCTCGTTTTATTTTTATATAGAAAATTGTAATTTTTAGCATTTTCGCTTCTTCCGTTTTAACCTTGTCCGAGACGACCCTAAAGGCCTTCAATATTGGCCCGTGCTGGCCCCAGATGCCCCCAAGAGGGCCCCAATACAGCCCAAAAGACGGGCCCAGGACGGCCCAAGAGGCGCCTTGAACGGCCCCAGAGGATCCCAAAAGGGCCCGAAGAGAGGCTCAAGACGGCCCCAGAAGGTCCTAAGGCAGCCCGAGAGGCGCCCAAGACAGCCACAAGGCGGCCCCAAAGGAGCTCAGGCCGCCTATCAGGGTCCCAAAAGGCTCCGAAGAGGCCCAAAAGAGGACCTGTAGATGCCCTCAGAAGGCTTCAAGAGGCCCCAAGAGGTCCCAAAACTGCCTCCAAGAGAGCGGGCCGGCGCTCCTGACATGCCTCAGAGAGCCTTTGGTTTTTGACAGACCAAACAGCCCCCCAAGCCTAGCGAGGTTTCTCGTTGTATTCTTGCTCCATTTGAAGCTCTCTTGGCGCCCTTCTTAGGCATCCCCGCGAGCGCCCTGCGAGCCTGCTCGGCGATCCCGGAACCTTTCTGCGAGCTTCTCGGCCGCCCAATCAGGAACCCCGGATGGGGCCCCCGATGACCTCCAAGTTTACCAACATCTAACAAGACGGTACGTCCGACCCAACAGCGGTGTTTGTTGGTTCTATTTTATATTATTGTGGAGTTTCATGCCCTCTTTGCGCTCGCTTGGGCTCCCCTGGGAGCGCCCTGCGAGTTCCCCCCACGATTCCGCAACGTTTCTGCAGGCCTGTCGGCCGCCCTTTCAGGAGCCCCAAATGCGCCCCCGAGGGCTTCCAATTCAAAGGAAATCTTACAAGACGGTACGTCCGACCCCCCTGCAGCTACACGCAGCAACAACACGCAGCAGCGGCAAGTAAGCACTAATTACGAACAGCACGCAGCAGCGGCAGCAAGTACAGCACGCAGCAGCATGCGCGAAATGCGAAGTCCGAGCCCAACGTCGTCACTCCAGTCTTTCGGCAGCACGTTCACCAGCAAATGCCGGCTCGTGCAGGTTTCGTGGACGCAGTCCACGGGTCAGCCCCAGTCTTTTCTCTTTGGCGGACATCAATCAGCGCGTGCCAGAACGTCAAAGCAGCGCATGTGGACCGATGCGACCCCCCTGGAGGGCCATTTCTCGACGCCCCTCACGAATATCCTGGCCCCCGAGCATCACAAATCGAGCCCTCCGCCCAAAGACGCGCCGAAGTGGCCATAAGAGGCTCCAAGGAGCATCCAAGAGGCCCCTTAGAGGCCCCCACCAAGGCCCAAGAGGCTCCCTAGAGGCCCCCAGCAAGGCCCAAGAGGCCTTCAAGAGCCTCCAACAGTCCTCCGAAGCATGCCCCCAGAGGCCAAACTCCTTCAGGTTTCAATGGTTTTTGAAGGAGTTTTGCCTTCTCGCCTTCTCGGCTAGCCGACGCTCCAAGACGGCCGAAGAGACCCACAAGACCGCCCCAGGACGGCCCAACAGGCCTCCAAGCGCGTCCCCAGACGGCCCAGGGAGCTCCAAGATGGCCCAATAGGTACCCAAGGCGGCCCCAGAGGACCCCAAGCCAGGCCCAAGAGGGCGTATAAATGCGCCCCCTGGAGGGCCATTTTCCGAAACCCCTCACGAATATCCTGGCCCCCGAGCGTCACAAATCGAGCCCTCCGCCCAAAGACGCGCCGAAGTGGCCATTAGAGGCTCCAAGGAGCGCCCAAAAGGCCCCCTAGATGCCCCCAACAAGGCCCAAGAGCCTCCAACAGTCCTCCGAAGCATGCCCCCAGAGGCCAAACTCCTTAATTTTTCAATGGTTTTTGAAGGAGTTTTGCCTTCTCGCCTTCTCGGCTAGCCGACGCTCCACGACGGCCGAAGAGACCCACAAGACCGCCCCAGGACGGTCCAACAGGCCTCCAAGCGCGTCCCCAGGCGGCCCAGGGAGCCCCAAGATGGCCCAAGAGGCGCCCAAGACTGCCCCAGAGGGCCCCAAGCCAGGCCCAAGAGGGGGCCAAAGAACGGGGAAAAACCCTGACATTCCGAGCCCTGGGCCCCTCCTCTGAGTCCCTCAATAGTTTTGGGCCCCCGGACTACAATGCCCCCCCGGAGTACAAGGGCGCTCCCGGGGGCCCCCCCCCGGACTACAGGGACCCCCCCCGGACTACAAGGGCCCCCCCCCAGACTACAAGGACCCCCCCCCAGACTACAGGGCCCCCCTCCGGAGTACAAGGACCACCCCCCGGACCACAGCGACCACGCCCAGCACGAGTGCTTCGGGCTGCCACAAAAAGAAAATTGCCACGGTCTGAACGACGAGTAAGTACTGTACTGCACGACGACGACGACGACCACTTTGGCTCGGCCCTGTGCGTGGGGTGCATATCCGCGGTCGTCGAGCGGGGCGTCGCCCCGCGAAGATCTGAGTGTGCCTGCCGCCGGACTACAGGACCCCCCCACCCGGACCACAAGGGCCCCCCCCCGGACTACAAGGGCCCCCCCCCCCGGACTACAGGGCCCCCTCCCCCGGACTACAGGGCTCCCCTCCCGGACTACAAGGGCCCCCCCGGACTACAGGGCCCCCCCCCGGACTATTGGCCACCCCAAAACTATTGAGGTACTCAGAGTATATGCCCACACAAGGCCCCAAGACCTGGGGGTGGACTTCGCGCCGTTTCCTGGGTCCCAAAAACGATAACGAGCAGGGGGGGGAATCCTTATCTTCATCGCCGAAAGCGATAAGGAGAAGGAGGGGTACACCCTTATCCTCATCGTTAACAGCCCCCCAAGGCGCGAAATCCACCCCCGACCCCCCCCTCCCCGTCAAAGAAAAACAACTCGTACGTCTCCTCCTCTTCCTCCTCCTCCTTTTCCTCCTCCTCGTCCTCCTTAGAATCGAACAGATCATCATCGTATCCATCCTCCTGCTTGCTATCACGCTGTGCCTCACGACTCCTTCCTCTCGTTTCGAACTTTCCGCAGCGTTTCGGGTCAGAGGATTTGCAATAATGTTGAGAGCCAGGATTCTCAGATGTCTGAGCAACGAAGTGCGCCTCGATGATAATAGTGTGTTGTTGTGCTCTCGTGCTGCGGTTGATCGGCTAGATGATTGTGTCTGCATGGGTGGGAAAATGAAGCCCAAGACGATCACCAAACTTGTTTCTGACTAATCTATCATTCGATGTTGTGCAACGTATTTTGGACGTCAAAGGAGTTTGCCACAGTACATTGGATTGGACAGCTATCATCACACATCTTTCCAGTACCGCCCCTGCTGTACAACATCGTCCATTGATACAGCGAGCTTGGTCGATTCGAGACGACGGCGGTGATATTATTCCTCGGGATAGCCCAGGTGACAGTATTCCATTGGCTGGAAGGACACACGACGACGCTATGAGAATTGTTGAATCTGAATCAGTTGGTTCATCACTTGTACCGTCGGATGAGATCGAAGCTAGGATTATTGCGACTTCCACGCGCTGCCAAAAAAAGAATTGGGAACATTCAAACTAAATTCGCTGCAGCCAAGTTGGTGATCAAAACAAGAAAGAAAATGCCGCGATCAAAAAGAAGAGTGCGGAGAAGGACAGAAAAATCGAGCTGTTGCAGGCGCGCCTCAAGGCGTTCGAACTCAAACGTGGGAAGAAAGGGCGGTACTTTTCTGATAGGGGGGGGGGTGCTTTTAGCAGCGAGGAGATGCATCAGCAACGTCGGCCCCAATGGCGTCGGAATGCTGCTGGGCATGGGCGTCGCGGGGCGCGCCATACGTCGCTGGGGAGTCAGGTTGAGAGCAGTTCAGATAGCACCATTTCGAGGATGGGCCCGCAGAATGTATATTCAGCAAACTCGATCGGCCATTCCTGGAGGACTTCATCTTAGATTGTTCAGGGTTCGCAGCGATGCCACTAACGCTGCCGTGTGGCAGCGGCAGCAGCTCAATGTGACAGAGCTGCAGTGTTCGTTTTCTTCTCATCCTGTTTTCAAAGACGGCAGTGCAGATCATCAGGACTACGACATCCAGACTAAGAAGATCTTCGGCCCGATGCAGGTGTGCAAACACGGGTCAGGGGAGGGCATGTTGAGCATGGTCGCCAAGCAGATCGGCGACGTCATCCACGAACCATTTCATCATCCAGTCGGTTCAAGGGGGAACTAACTATGTTAGAAAGTATCGGGGGCTCCCGAATGATTAATAAATGTCCCCCCCCATAACTCTCCTCTTCTTTGCGTGATCCTCTGCAGCCGCCCCTCCCGAGGTTTACCTCTTGAAGATGCTGGGCCTCAAGACGGACTTGTTCTGCCTGCTCCAGAGCGGCCGGCCGCCCTCGCCATCTACGGCGCGCCTGCGCCTACTTCGAGTGAGCTCGCGATTGGTTCAGCGGGTGTGAATTTGGTTTCAACTTGCCAAGTGTTTCAATATCCCTGGGCCCCTGTGTCCGATAGGTTGTTTCGGAATCGTCTGGGCTAGCGGAAAACCAAAATCAAGGGGGTAAGAGTCTCCCCCCCCCCCCCTTCTTCCTCCTCCTCCTCCTCCTCCTCCTCGTCTCCTCCTCCTCCTCCTCCTCCCCCCTCCTCTTCCTCCTCTTCCTCGTCCTCCTCCTCCTCCCCTCCCTCCCTCCCCCCGTCCACTTCCATCCATCCTCCTCTTCGATGCGTTGTCCCTCTTGTGGGGGGGGGGGGGGGGGGGCGCCGGTTCAACTATGCCGCTGACGCTGGCGCTGTTATTTCCAGGGCAAGGCGGCTGGCAGCTCGTGGCACGGCAATGACACTAACGTTTGGGTTATCGATGGCGATTGCGTTTGCCGCGCGTTTCAGTTGATGACGAGTTCCATGCTGCGGAGCGTGGAAGAGATCCTCATGCCAGCGTTGCCAGACGGAGCGTTCAAGCTTCGGTCTTATAGCGCGTTGGCGACGGTGATGCATGCGTGGCGAGACAACGCTGCTGCCAGATTTACTAGATGGGTTGATGTTTACAAGGGTGCAGACGCAGCGCAGTCGCGCGCGCATTTGGTTCCACCGCGCCCTATAAGCGGGCGGTGGGGCCAGCAAACTCATTGTGAGCGGTTTCCCTTGGCAAAAGATCGGGGGCGCTTGATAAATGCGTTTTCGCACGTCGTCGGGGGCAGGGCTTATTATATCGAAGCGACCGCCGAGCATGAAGGCCCGAAGAAACGCAAAGTAGGTGACGTGCTAGACGATGCCCAAGCCGACGCGAAAGACAATTTCACAGGAACAATGGGGAAATGGGCCAAGTGGGCATTTCGGGGTCTACATGGTTATAGGTTCTGGTTGTGTTTGAGTGTTAGCTCGACTATTTCAGAACAACTGGATGTGCTGCTGTGGACATGTCAACAACGTTCAGAGTTACAACACGAGGAGGTTGGGAGCATGGCACATTTGGTTTTCGGCAAACCGAAGACCACTTACGACGGGTTACTGGAGCTAACTGAGAGTAGATCGCGGGCTCATACCATGGAACTTGCTGCGTCCATTGTGCCACCTGAGAGCCGCGCCGATGCGCTGAGCAAATTTGATGATTGGATCCGACGCTGCGTGATCAGAGTGGCATCGGGCTACAAGAGGAGAGTACTTGACAAATTCTCGGAGAGGTCGTGCACATTGCTTCTGATCGCTAAGAACCCTCCTCGCGTTCGGTGCTCCGAGCGGCTGCGAGTAGTTCGGGGCATCTTTCGTTCGCAAGACTCGGGGTTCCGCAACATTGCTTGGGGGGTTGAGGGGATTTTGAAATTGCTCGCCCTCCCCCCTGAGCTCGTTCCACTCGTTCCACGGCTGGGTGCGGACGAGATCCGGTGCCAATGTTAGGTTTGATGGTTTCGTGTGGGGCTCCTGAGGTGAAACATTTGTTCAAGTCTGATCTCGAAGCTTGCCGTGACAATGAAGGAGTTGCGGGGGTCCAGTTGCGCTCAGCGGCGCGTTTGGTTGTAAAGGAGTGGGCGGCTGATTCGCAGGAAAGTGAGGGCATTATGAGCCTCGTCAAACTTGGGGCACAAAAGGGGCCAGCACGAATGGCACTGGGCTTATTGGACGCACGAGTTGCAAAGTCAAGCCGCTCGGGCTAGGATCTAGAGCGCCCAAGTCTTTCAAGTATTCCCAAATAACAGCCGTCGCTAGACTCGCTCGTGGACGACTGCCGTCGGCATTTGGCGGCGGCCGACATTGTCATGGCAAGCGCGGATCGCTGTGCCCCCCCCCCCTACACGGGCGAGGTCCCCGAGATTCGGACCCAACCGGCGCCCGTTCCTGAGGGTTCTATGTCGCTGTGTTGTTCCCAAGCGTTGCGTTTGCACTGGCTGTGCGTTCAATCGTCGGAGCTGAAGCATGGGGGTGCGGCTGTTATTTTCAGGGGAGCTGGTGCCGTTGAGCAAGCATGGTTGGCGGGTAACTCTTACAAGTGCACCGAAATGCTTGCCCGCCTGGAATTCGACAAGGCGTCGGGCATCTCGGCAGGGGATCGCGTGCAGTACGCCGCGCCGCTGCAACCCGAGCAGTCGTTGACTGCATTCCAAGGCTTCTTCAAGGCAAGCGCCACGAGGATTTTAAGGAGTAAGGTTTGGGAGACGTGATTTGCATTTCGCGGGTGCCTGATGCTGGTTTTTGGTTGGCCGACAACTGGTTTTAAAGTCGGGGCCTGGAGTGTTTGGTGCTTGTTTTGTTGAGCCTCACTGGGCAGGCGCGCGTTGTGGATGGCTGCATATATGATAGTTCGAGCGTTCTTGTTCACATCGGGCTTTCGAACAAGGGGGCAGTTTCTGACATCGCCACATTGCCAGAGGCCGACCAATCGGTTTGCAGCACGGCGGTTGTCATGGGCAAGACGGAACCGATCCCCCCGAGGAAAGCAAAGCCCTAACCGAAACCACCCTTGCCAGCTATTGCCGCCCCTGACCCTGCAGTTCCATTGCCCATCGAAGATGCATCGCTCGAACGTCATCTGGAGTGTGTTCTCGAAGCTGCGCGCGGGGGGGGCGGCCGGGCCATCGCTGCGAGCGACTTCGGCGCAGACGGGGCCGATGATGAAATCACCGACCAGGCGTGGTAGTTCTGAATCGGCCAGGGGTCAGGGGTCAAAAAACATAGTGTCCCCCATATGTTTTTTTCTGAATCGGCCAAGGGTCAGAAATAAGAAACATGGTTTGTTCCCGGCCTGGGGGCCCGACCTCGCAACGCCACGGCTGGACTCCGACTCCGTCTCAAGTGGGTTCGGAGGCTGGGGGGCTCGATTTTTCTCAGAAGTCAAAGAACAGATTGTTCCCCCGCGTGTTGTTTTCTGAATCGGCTAAGGGTCAGAAGCACAAAAAAACATTGTTTTTAAATGGCATGGCGGCCCGACCTCGTAACGCCACGGCTGGACTCCGACTCCGTCTTCGACTGGGTTTTGAGGTTGAGGGGTTAGAGTGTCTGGCTTGTGCTCATTGCTGGTTGGCCCCGGGTTATAGATTTGACTGCAACGGCCGCTGAGAAGAAGTTAGCGAGCGATGTGAAATCAAAGGTTGAGGACCCCGCGAAGAAGGCTGCATATCTAGCCAAAATGCGTGATTTGGAAACCGAAGCTGGCGAGCCATTTCCTGAAGACGACGCCAGTGATCTCTTTACTGCTGCTGAGCTGGAGGCAGTGGGGGCTGATTTGTCAGAGGCGTCGGCTTCCCATGTAGGGGGTGATGCGTCTGAGGGGACTGGAGTTGAATGCCGCCGTTTGCTATCGGAATGTTCAGCCAACTTGAAAGTACTAAGTAGTGAGTTTCACCAGTTTGAGGCCGAGCCTCGAGATATGGCCGTATCAATTTGCTCGTACTTAGACTCTAACGCCGCCGCCACCATCATCGCCGATGGCGTGAACTCACGTGATCCTGGCATATAGACAGGTACGTATCTATAAACACTCCCGATCATTCACCATCATCAGCATCAGCATCATCATGGTCATCATCATCATCATCGACATCGTAACCGTAACCGCTGTTATCAGTATCGTCATCGTCGCCATCATCAGCATCATCATCACCGCCACCACCGCTGTCAACATCGGCACTACTACTACCACTATCATCCGCCAGCACCGTCAGCTGTCACAGCGATGGTGACCGCTGCTGTTTTCCAGCGTTTGACTCTGTCAACCTTGAGGCGGTTCCGCTACAGTGCATACCGAGCTTTCCAGTGCTTGCTTCGAACTCGCAGCCTGCCCGAGACCGCTGTTACCCTGTGGAGATGGCGTTCCCGAGGGATGGCGATGCGCAAATGTCCAAGGCCTTCTTAAACGAAGTGGTGCCGTGCATGTTCTTCAGTGCTGATGGGGCCGATCGGGGGTGCGGTGCTCATCGCATCAGGCGCACCATGGCAGACTACTCCTACGATGGTGCCCAGAAGACGTGGTCGATATGCAGCGGGTGCTTCGAAACGTGTTTCAACGACCCTCTGCGCGCGCCTCCCCGCGTTGACCGCCGCAGGGCATTCGACTCCCCGTTCTGGGGCGGTCTCTCCGACGCGACGCTCTCATTGCGTGCGCCATTTGCTCTGGTTCCACCTCTCCTCTCCACGGCTCATCCTCCTCCTGCTCATCCCCCTCCTTCTCATCCTCCATCTTCCCCCTCCTGCTCAGGTTGATGAGGCGGGCTCAACTGCCGCTTCCGCTGAGACTACCCCCCAGCACGACGCGCCGAAGTGCGGATTCCAGGGGCACCTCGGTATCATGGGGAATAGCCAGCTCAGCTACTTCAAGAGCTCGAGGGAGAATAGCAGGGTCAGCTCACGAACCATCGTGGCTTCCAAGGGGCGGGGCTCCAGCATGAAAACGACGAGGGCGACGACAGTGACCAAGACCAACCATAAACCCATAGTAGGACTCTGCATGAGAAGCCGTCTGTCGCTCGCAAGCCTGCGAAGAGCGCGAAGAAACGCCCTTTAGCAGCTAAGTAGGCTCGCAGCTTTCAGACGGGGAAGCGGCGCTATGTATTTTCTCGCGGGCCAGGGCGGACTGGCCACGCATGTATCCAGCAATCGAGTTGGAACCCGCCAGGTGCACGCACTCACGGTTAGGGGGAAGGGCAGACGGAGTGATAACGGGGTGGAGGGGCGGGGGGAATAAAAACCAAAGGAAGGATGGGAGCAAGGGTTGATGGGAAGGTGGTGGCGGGGGAATCCGTGATCGGGGGGGCACGAACGCGCACCTCGCCGAGCCCCTGCGGGGCTTCCCCGACATCGCCCTGACCGAACCCCGCCCGCCAAGCCATAGATTTTTTGCGATTTCGGGCCGACCCCAACGGCGCCCGACGCTCCTCAGAGCTTGTTCCCAGTCGGTCCCAGGCCCACTCCAGGCGGCTCGCGGGGTGCCCCCGGGGCGTCCCAGGGCGCCCTCCTCCCCCCCCAGGCCGAGATGAGGGGGATCTCCTTAGCCCCAGGCCGAGATAAGGAGAATTCCCTTATCTCCAGGCCGAGATGAGGATGATTTCCTTATCTCCAGGCCGAGATAACGGATATTTCCTTATCTCGGCCTGGAGATAAGGGAATTCTCTTTATCTCGGCTTGGAGATAAGGGAATTCTCCTTCTCTCGGCCTGGGGATAAGGAAATCCCCCTTATCTCGGCCTGGGGGGGTGCGCCCTGAGGCGTCCCGAATGCACTCCGCGAGCCGCCTGGAGTGGGTCTGGGACCGACTGGGAACATGCTCTGAGGAGCCTCGGATGTTGCCCTGGAACACCCAGGGATATCTCCGCGGGCAGCCTGGATGGGGGATGAGGCATATTGGAAATGTAGCCGGAGGGCTCCTTGGGGCTTCGGGAAAGCTCGGAGTCAGCCCAGACGCGCTATATGGGGGGCACTCGAGAGCCTCATGCGAGAAACATGCGTGCGCGCATTCGCACGCCGTGTGCGCTACGCATAATACAATTGGAAGCAAACAGGACAACACGCATCACCAAGCAAACAGCATGCACACACACATACACGCGCACGCACGCACGCACGCACGCACGCACACACACACACACACGCACACACACACACACACACACGCGCGCACACGCACGCACACACACACACACACACACACACACACGCACGCACGCACGCACGCACGCACGCACGCACGCACGCACGCATACACACACACACACACGCGCGCACACACGCACGCACGCACGCACACACACACACACAAACACTGTATGTTTACATGCCGTGCACGATATCACGATACTATGTCAGTGTTCACGCGTGTAAGGTTGCACCGACTGCACCTGGCGGTCTGTATGCTTCAGCAGATCTATCCGCCTAGGATGGGCCCGCTGCGACTGGATCCAAGTTTTGTTCAGATTCGGGTCAACCGCGAGTGATCCGATACTGTTGATGCACGCTGCTGCGCCCGATGTCTCTATTTACTGCAATCACGCATGTGGGTTTCGCTGATTTGCAGACGAGCGACGTCGCCACTCGAGCGACAAGGCTCGAACCAGTTCAGCTCGACTCCGAGGAGTCAGGCACTGTGAAAACGTTCGCTCGATGTCCGTCCCTCTCACGACCCCTCCACCATCTGGCCCATGACCCACGGGCCAGATGGTGGGCAACGGGGTGATGGAGGGAGGAGGGAGGAATGAGGATACATATTCCTTTAGAACGTAGCCCAGGGTTGAACATACAATAAGATCAAACTCGGCCTCCACACGCCCCCGCGCCCTCTGCTGAGGGGATCCCTCCTGTCCTCTTCCTCCGTCCTCTCTGCCGCCTTGGGGTCCAGCTTAGCTCGGTCTGGGCTGTTCTCCCAGCCCGCGGGGGCCCGCGAGGTCCACTTGCTTCTCAGCGATGGTGGAAGTCGCCCCCGACGTTTGGAAAACATGGCCCATGTGAGGACCTGTGGCTAAGACGAACGAGAGCCCCTCCTCGTCCTCCTCCCCCCTCCCCCATCCCCCTATCCTCCTATCCCCCTCCTTCCTTGCCCCCTCCTCTTCCTCCTCCTCCTCGTCCTTTTTTCTTCCTCCCCCCCCCCTCCTCGGGCCCCTCCCCCTCCTCTCCAGAGGAGGATGGGGCGAGGGATAGAGTGAGGTCCCACGCTTGGACCCTGGCCCCCAGGACGTGGAACAGATCATCCCGCACCTCTCGGCCGAGCAGAAGTTCGGCATGCCCCCGAAGGGCTTCGGCGTCAAGATGCGTTTCAAAGGCGTGGAAGGAGCTCTCGGTGTGCGTGTGTGCGCGTGTGTGTGTGTGTGTGTGTGTGTGTGTGTGTGTGTGTGTGTGTGTGTGTGTGTGTGTGTGTGTGTGTGTGTGTGTGCGCGTGTGTGTGTGTGAGTAAGTGCGTGTTAGTGGAGGAGGCTGGAGGATGAGGATGGGTGATGAGGATGGGGGTTATAACATGTTATGGGTTTCCCCGGGCAGCTCGTATGGGATTTGACTACTAAGCTGCATGAGGTATACAGCAGCCAGATAATCAAGCTATGGGACGATATGGGTAAGTCTCTTGTCGATCGTGATCGTGCCAACATGCGTAACGTCACGAGCTCCCAGAAAAAAATACACTGTCAAGTTTTTGAATGAGGGATATTTCAATAAACTCGGGGGCAATTGCAATGCCGCTCGGCACCTGGTACTGAGAACGTCTACCACTTCACCAGCGGTGGCGCGATCACGGCCTCGATCAAGGCTGCTGGGATCGAGAAGCCAGGCTGTAGACTTCAAAACGGGGCCTGTGTCTTTGTGGATTTCCACAGGGGACAATCACGTGTTTCTTTGGCTTTAATGTTGTATATGTTTCGGTGTCGGCCAACGTGGGCCACTAACAAACAGGCGCACCAACGCCACCCAACACGCCAGCGCCCCCCTTCTGTAGGGGAGTCGCTCGGTGAGTGACGGCAACGGTGGTGGCGGCGTGTGTGTGTGTGTGTGTGTGTGCGTGTGTGCGTGTGGGGTGATGTGTGTGTGGTGTGTGTGGTGTGTGTGTGTGTGGTGTGTGTGTGTGTGTGTGTGTGTGTGTGTGTGTGTGTGTGTGTGTGTGTGTGTGCGTGCGTGTGTGTGTGTGTGTGTGTGTGTGTGTGTGTGTGTGCGTGCGTGTGTGTGTGTGCGTGTGTGTGTGTGTGTGTGTGTGTGTGTGTGTGTGTGTGTGTGTGGAGGGTGGGGGGGGGCGGGGCGGGGCGGGGGGGGGGGGGGCGGGCGCGGGGGGGGGGGGGGGGGGGGGGGGCTGCAAGGCAACAAGTACGTCTTGGGCATTATGAAAGAAGGGTCTCGAGGACGTGCGCGCCCTGAACACGGATACACCCGATGACGTTTGTAGGTTCCGCAAATACGAGAGCATAAGGTTTCATGAGGGTTTTGGGCACAGCAACCCTGCGCGCACTCATGCCCTGACCCAAATGAAAACAACCCGGCCCGCGCCCCCCCGAGGCTCGACGAGTCTCTTCTCGAGAATTCAGTGGGCCCTCGGGCCCTAGGGGCCCTCCCCAGGTCCTCAGGTGGCAGGGCCTAGTCGAGCTGGGTTTCGACGCCCTGCGAGGTTCAAAAACTTCGGTCCTTGAGGCGATCGACGAGTCCTCGCGGGTCAAGCCTGCGTGGGACGCGCGCCCTGGGAAGTCACGTTTGCTCGGGGAGGGGTCTTGCATCCTGTTGAACCTTGAATTATGATTTCTAAATTTATCATTGCTCCGCCCATCCCCTCCTCCTCCTCCTCCTCCTCATCCCCCTCCTTCTCCTGGGGTAACTAATGCCAATCCGAGAGGTGCCGCGCCGCCGAGGGCATCCAGACTTCGACGTGCCCAACTAAGGGCCCCGCCTGTTTCAACGAGCTCCATGAAAAGTTTGTGGAGGAGAACTTCCCTGATACTTTCGATAAGTTTGTGCAATGCCAGGGCGCTGACGCGATTCGGCAAGCGATGGACACTCTGAATATATGCGAAGCATTCAAAAAGGTGATCGACGAACGATGCGATTTCATGGCGATCGACCCCGACGCCCCGACAACGCTGAAGAACATGCGTCAGTGGGTGACCGCTGTCATGCATTTCGAGGATGGGATCGAACAGTGCACCTGCTCTGGGGGGGGGGGTGGGGTGGGGTGGGGTGGGGGGTGGGGGGGTGGGGGGGGGGGGGGGGGGGGGGGGGGCCTGCGCCCTATGATCCCCCGATCGGCCCCGATCCCCCCCCCCCCCCCCCCCGCCCCGCGTTACTCCAGGGGGGGCAAAGAGGGGGGGGCGGAGGAGGAGGACGAGGAGGAAGATGACGAGGCGGAGAAGCAAGGAAGACGGGGCGCCCCGCGCGCGAGGAGAAGGAAGAGGAGGATAAGGCGCAAGTAGACATGATGATAGACATGTGGCAATTGTGATGCCAATTTTGGCGTGCCCGATTTGTCGATCGCATATCATGCTCGAGATTATTACGTTTGGTTGCCCTGCAAGGACTGCCACAGCGTGTTCATCCTCCGCGAGTGGGTCATCGAGGGCATGCTTTTCTTTGCGCCCAACGTCGAGGGCGGCCATGCGTCGCGGATCCAGGACAGCTTCCTCTTCAGGACATTTCGGAAGGATCTGGTCGAGCTCATCTCGGGGCCGGTGGAGGGCGCCGTGGCCATGAAGCGCGACGAGGCCAGCGACAGCAAGAAGCGCAAGCATCATAATGCGCATGCAGGGGGCGATGCAGACGACTCCAAACGGCGTAGAATCAACCGCTCCAAGGCGAAGAAAGATATCATGGAACTGGCGAGGCAGTCCACGCTGCAGATGTCGGTCGACGACGGCGGCAACCGCCGTGAGTTGAACGTGTTCGACGATGTGACTTGGCAGATCTTCGGCCCGCTGGACGGCTTGTCCAAAGCAGACTTGAACGTGGTCAATGTTCGTGAAGCTTTGAGTGCAGTCATCCGCTTTATCTTCTCCAAGGCCTTGCAAGTCTGATGTGGTCAAGCACCGACTGGTGAGTTGGCCTGTTTCTTCTGCGATATTGCGGTATCCCTGTCTTCCATCTCGGAGAGGGGGGATGGGGCATCGGTCTCCCTGAACGGACTGGCGGACTCACATGTCGGATGCCGACATATCGGAGTTGCCCGCAGGCGACGAAGTTCGAGAACGTGGAGTACGACCTGCCGAAGTATTCTGTCCTGCGGCCGAAGCTTCGCGAGGGCATCGCCAAGACCCACTTGGACAACATCATCAAGCTCAAGGGCAACCCCGCGTCTTCTTCAGATAACCCGTTGGAGGATGTCCTTAGGCTTGTGGAGAAGAACTCTGGCGTGTCGCTGTCCCCCGATGCGCTAGGCGCAGACGCCCAGTCTGCTCCAGCGAGTGCTCCTCGTGACATCGTGGCCGCAGCCTTCTCTGGGCTTTTGCAGGATTTCGAGTGGATCTTTGGACTCGTAGACTTTCTCAAGATGTTCGAGGTCGGACCTTGCGATAACCCGAGGCTCAACCACCTCTTCATCAAAATCATGGAGGCTGGCAACCGCTGCATGCTGGAAGCTACCAAGCTCGTCTCAACGGACATGTACGTCGATTGCTTCGCTGGCATTCTCAAGGATCCACCATTGGATGCAAACCCAAACCTACAACACGCGCTCAAATCAGGCCGGCCATAATTTGAATTTCAGACTGCCCATGCGGTGTTTAAATCTGGCAGTGCGCGTCACTGGTTGTAATTGTAGTTTATGTTTTCAGGCCAGGACTTATTTCAAGATATGTGGCAGTCGTTCTTGAATATTCTTGGCGCGATGATCGCGGGGGGGCCTGAGTCGTTTGACAAGTACGCCTTGGGTGTCATCGAGACTCGTGAGTTCGCGGTCAAGGTTTTCCACATGCGCGCCGCCCTGGTTGTTGAGGCACTGGCTTCGCAGGCGTGCGGGCAAAGCCGCATCGCAGAGAAGGGCATGCAGTCGCACGTGGAGGTACTTCGACTTCTACTCAATGGAGGGGCCCTTGGCTTGATGGACCTGTCGCTGACGGAGGCTGAGTACCGCTCGGCGTGGCTCGACATCCTACGGGCATGCGGTGAGTCTGACTCTGCTAAGGCTCTGACGGATGCTGCCAAGTTGGGCCCATCGGCGATTCTCGAGGCTCTGGCCAACGTGATCCCCTGCTCGCGCTTCACCCAGATCGGCCAGACGCCGTTCAAGAAGCAGATCGCCTCCGTGGGCGAGGTCGACAACCAGGGCCCCCAGAACCAGCAGGACAACAAGAAGATCGACGGCGACAAGGGCAGCGACAAGGGCGCGGAGAAGCCTGAGGACTCGAACTCCGTCGAGCCCATGAACTTTGCTAAGTTCCAGAGCTTGAGTGCGCTGAGGGCGGGAATACTGCCAGGCCTGGACGCCCCGCTGTCCGCGCCCTACCACTGCTGCACGTTCGCCGAGCAGGCTTCGAGAATAAACCTGATATGTTTTTTGGAGGCACAGGGGTCCAGGGGCCCAGTGGTCCAGGGTGACTAGGATGCCGATGAGCTGATCATGCTGAGAAGGACGAGGAAGATGACGAGCAGGAGGGGCAGGGGAGGAGGAGGAGGAGAGGAGGAGGAGGAGGAGAGGAACTAGAGAAGGCGGAGGCAGGGAGGAGGGAAAGGACACGAAACAAGGATGGTTTATTCTTGCAGGAGCTTTGGGCAATCACACAATTGTCGATGCAACGCCGCTTGGGCGGCGTCTCCCCCGATCATCCGCTCGATAAAGTGTTCGTGGCCGTCGACGGTGCGCGCGGGAATGCGCGCGGCCAGTTCGTCGCGCTCAAGGGGGCCCCGAAGTCGGTGGTCTTCAATTAATTTCGCCGGGCGTGTATCGATGGAGCCGATGGCGGGGTCGCTCTGGATCTGCAAGTGCTTCGGGGTGGACTTCTATGTTTCTGGATCGGGGTTCCAGGAGTGTGTAAGCAACGACGATATCCTTACCCCTACGCACATCTACATTCCTCCTTTTCCTATGTTTATCGATCAGGTTTCCCACCACCATGAACGACATGTGTTTGCCTGCCTGGATTGCCCCTCCAGTATCCTGGAGGCCGTTCATGCCGACCGTGCCATCGGCTACGACTGCACCGACGCATGCTGTGGCTTCGGTGACCTTGGCGGAACACGTCGCGACGAAGACGATCGAATTCCAGTGCACTATCGGTACCAAATCTCACTCAGGGAAGATGGTTGATATCACGAGCCTGCGCTTGCCCCAAGATGCCGCCCTCGACAGTAAGCATGTGCACGTGGCCACTCGCGCGGCTGAGTTGAAGCACGCGGTGAAGACGAGCTCCAAGCCAGCTGCCCGGGCGAAGGCCAAGGCGGTGACCAAGGCCGAAGCGAGCGGCAACCAGAACCCGAAGGCTAAGCACTTGCGCTCGTGATCGGGTTGGCGATGGCGGCCGTTCTATTTACGCATTTGTCTTTGAGACGGGCCGCGATGTTGTTGTTTGCCCCGTCTCTTTTTGCAGGCGCCGCCTCGTTTGACACCAGTGCTTTCGCACGGTCCAGTGCAGCGTTGCATGGATAAGTGGATTGCTGGACGTTTGCGCGACGTTTGATTTCAGCGCACTCTGCGCACTCTAGGAGAGCAAACACAAATGTTGTGATGATGATCGTGGTTGCCGCGATTGCGATGGAGAGGGAAAGGGGGAAAGGAGGGAAGGGGTGGTCCGCCACCTCTGCCGCCGACAACGGGCCAGCGCTCCCACGCTTCTGGCCCCCGCGATGGCCCGAACTTATCTAGAGGCTGCCGCCTGTGCCGCCGACGACCCCGCATAATATGAAGGCTGTCGCCTCTGACGCGGTTCCAGCGGAAGATTAATTGAGAGCGCCGCAGACCGAAGCACGCGGAAACGCGTGACGATCAAAATGCAAGCACCCAAACACGCAACGTAGAAGGTGCACGACGCACAGTACGAATCACATGTTGAAATCCACGATGACAGAAATGCAAAAGCGACCCGACTGCGAGCATCAAAAACATGAAACGCACAAAAACCTAGATGCGCACAAAATGCAAAACAACAAAACATATGTTCCCGAATTCTCCCGAGGGCATTTTGCGACACATCGCATTGATTAAACACATGGTTTCGCACTCGCCGCGCGCACTCAAATTCGAAGGAAAAAACATCGACAACTGACCAAACGTAGGGTTCGAGAGTGTGACCTCTTGGTCACACACGATTTTCCTTATCTATTTTGGCCCCAGCCCCAACGCGGGAAACCCACCCCCACCCAAGACCCCCCCCGGGGAATGCCAAGAGGTCCCCTGAGGCCCCCAATACCCAGGCAAAGGCACGGTGGCGGCTTTCGCCGTAGGCCATGAGGCTTCCTAGACGGCCCCACGGGGGCGGCTTTCCCTGAAGGCCCTGAGGCTTCCTAGACGGCCCAAGACGGCCACCCGACTCCCAGGATACCTCCTACCCGCCTCAGGAGCTTCCCGTGATACCTCTCGGACGATCCCAGACGGCCTCAGCGCTCGAAGACGCCCACGATAGCTTCCACAGGCCCGAGACAACTTCAATATGCTCCATCTGGGCTCGAAGCAGGCTCCAAGAGAGCTCGAACGCGGAGACATATGCCCCAATTCCTGAGGAAAGCGGTTACTTGCGCTCTTCCCCTGCTCGTCGTCTTCAAAGCGTCCGACACTGCCATGCACGCACCCAAGATCGCACAAACACCCCTCAGGTGCCTCCCGGCACGACGTTAAAACGGCCCTGGACGGCCCCAGAACGCCTCCGGAGATTCCCAAGACGCCCCGAAGATGATCCTTAGCCAGTCACTACACCGCCATCTGGTAGTCGCCTCCTTGGAGCGCCTTCTTAGAGCCCTCCGAGGCCAACTCTTGGGACTCCAGGCCACCATCCGACCCTTTCCAGGCACCCTGGTGCCAGAGCGACGGGTGCTCACTACGAAGCCCCTTGGTAGTTACCACCCTTGGGTCTGTCCTGGGACGCTCCGTGTGGCCGCCCCAAGATGGTCTCAATCATTCAATCGGGCCGAAAAGCACCCGAGCACAGCAGCAGCAGCAGCAGCAGCAGCAGCAGCAGCAGCACACAGCAGCAGCACACAGCAGCAGCAGCACAGCAGCAGCAGCAGCAGCAGCACAGCAGCAGCAGCAGCAGCACAGCAGCAGCAACAACAGCACAGCAGCACAGCAGCAGCAGCAGCAGCAGCAGCAACAGCAGCAGCAGCAGCAACAGCAGCAGCAGCAGCAACACGCCTTCACATCACCAGCGCCAATCAGCATCATGCAGCAAGCAGCAGCACGCAGGCAGCAACACCCAGCACCAGGCAAAAGCTAACAGCAGCGCCAAGCTGCAGCAAGCGGTCCAAGGCGGCCCCAAGATAGCCCCAGACGGTACAAGACGGACCCAGGATAGCGCCAAGACAACCCCACGATGGCCCCAGACTGTTCAAGACGGCCCCAGGATGGCACAAGACGGCGCCAATATGGTCCCAAACGGCCAAGGTGCTCCCAAGACGGCCCCAGCTGCAGGCTCCCCCTTTAGGGGGTGGAGGTATTTATTCAAAAATAAATACCTCGACCCCTGGGGCGGGGGGGGACAGGACCAGTCAGGGCGGAAGATCCTCAAGACGGCCCCAATATGGCCCCAGACCGTCCAAGATGGCCCCAGGATGACCCAACACGACGCCACGATGGTCCAAACCAGGCCAAGATGGTCCCAAGGCGGCCCCAGCTGCGGGCTCACCCCCACCCAGACTCCGACGTCAGAGGCCCGCGAGGGCGCCAGCTGACTCCGACGACGCTCCACGCGCAGCAGGCGGCGGGCGCAGCTTGAACCCAGCGGCCGCAGCCCACTGGACAGCCTTGGACGGCGCCGAGGGCGCGGACCAAAAAACCTTGGGGCTAGGGCCTCAGGCTTTGCCGGGCGGGCCGAGGACTTGAGTACCAAGACGACCCATAACGGCGCCAGGGCAGCTCCAGCGTCGCCCAGGACGGCCTCAGAGGCATCCAGGACAGCCCCGAGACAGCTCCAAAGAGCCCCAACAAGGACCCAGAAGGCCGCACGACGGCCCCAAGATGGTCCACGAAAACAGACCCCCAAATGGCC